TAAATAAAGGAATAAGATGGGATACATCTAATCTCAGAGGATTAGCTCCTAGTTAAATCTTGTTTGCACTTTCTGTTAAAACATAGACTGTTGCATTTTAGAAATAAAGTTGATTTTAATAATGCTGATATTATGGAGAAGACTGGATACAGAGAGAGAGGAGATGGAAAACTTCACTTTCCCCAGCAACAGACTTCATGTTCATAAAATAAAGAGTTGAGTTACTACAAAACCACCTCTAGTCTCCAAGTTTTATAATTCTATGTCTGTAATAATTTCTACTTATGTACAAAGGTACATCTTATAAGGAATGAATAAAGTCAGAATCTGAGCTCCAATTTTTTTGGCATATTGTTTATTTTTCTCCCTCTACTTCTGTTTTACTCCAAATTTCCCTACTCTATATCTCAGTCTTTCCAAATACAGAACAAACCTTCCGTTTCCTCATCAGTCCTGGCACTGAAGAAGATCACTGTACTCAGAAAATTCTGTCTTAGTGCTCTCCTTCCGGAAGGAACCCTGCAGTGAAGGTCACTTAGCCTATGCCTCCGTGAATGTCTGGAATATTACTATTCTTTAAAGTATTGCTAACAGTATGATTAAGGAGTCATTTAAACATAAATATTGCATATATAAATGGTGCTCAATGTGGACTTGTCATTGTCCACAGATAGATGCACACAAAATTCCAATATCATTTTTGCAATGAAAATAAAAGACAAAGAAAATAGAAACCACAGAAGTGCCATGTTTGTAAAGAATAGAATGCTGACCTCAGGCGATCTGCCTGCTTAGGCCTCCCAAAGTGCTGGGATTACAGGCCAGCCTGACCAACATGGTGAAACCCCATCTCTACCAAAAATACAAAAATTAGCCGGATGTGGTGGCACATTCCCATAATCCCAGTTGCTTAGGAGGCTGAGGCAGGAGTACTGCCTGAACCTGGGAGGTGGAGGTTGCAGTGAGCCGAGATCACGCCACTGCACTCCAGCCTGGCGACAGAGCGAGACTCTGTCTCAAGACAAAAAAAAAAAAAAAAAAAAAATAGAATGCTTAGCTTTGTACTGTTTTAAATAAATAATTTGCTATTTTTATTACTATGTTTCAGTCAATTTTATCAGGCTTTTACTTATTTTAGCATTTTGTATCTGAGTTCAGTGTTAATCTGAGTACAGATTACAGTGTGGCATCAATTTGGTATCTTTAGTTTGGCTAAAAGGCACATCCATGTTAAGTGTTTATTTGGAGTGTGCTGTGGTTTGAGTGTTTGTCTCCTCCAAAACTCATGTCGAAATGTAATCCCCAATGTGGCAGAATTAAGACATGGGGTCTTGAGGAGGTGATTCACGGATTAATAGATTGATGGGTTATTATGGGAGTAGGGCTGGTGGCTTTTTAATAAGTAGAATATAAACCAGAGCTGACATGCTCAGCCTCCTTCCCAGGTGATGTCCTGTGCTATCTTGGGATTCTGCAGAGCCCCAAGAGCAAGAAGACCCTCACCAGGTGTGGTCCCTCAGCCTTGGACTCCTCAGCCTCCATAACTGTAAGAAATAAATTTATTTTCTTTATAAATTACCCACTTTTAGGTATTCTGCTGTAAGCAACAGAAAGCAGACTGATACAGGGTTCATTGACTCTGATGTGTATGTTTCTTCTTTTTATCATTGTTGATATTGTAAAAAGAGTAGCCTTTTCCTGAGTACTATTCTATACTGAATAAGGGAACTATTCATGTATTTTTATCATGACTTTGCCATTTTGGCTTGGCTCAATGAATTCATGTATTATTTTTGAATTGTCTTTCTTTTTACTACTTTGCTGAAATTTCAGCAACTTCTTATTTAGAAATTAGAATAGGGCATAAATCAACACTATGAAATAAACTTGAAAGAATAACTTAGACTCATAAATCAATATCATGCTACCCATGAAATAAATTTAAAAGAATAACAGGTTTAGCGTGGAAATATTCTCTGTTTCTCTCTGTCTCACCCGAGGAGGTTGTCAAATCCTTGTTTCCATCCATCTCCTCTGTTCTGTTCTTATGCCTCTCTCAGGCTTCCTTTGCCTGTTGTTTAGATTAGTACAGTGAATAGCCAAACTACTTCTGATTTTGATTTTTTTCCCCTCCCATTCATTCTAGATAGCTGTCAGATTAATGTTTCTGGATATCTCTGACTTACTAGAAAACCATCAATGGCTCACCTTCCAAAATAAATAAAATCTATACAATTAAGCCCAATATTGCAGACCCAAATTTGTCTTTTACATTTGTTTTCTCTCGCTCTCCTCCTTCAGATTTCTATTGCATTACAGAAGCCAGATAATTATAATATCTCTGCACACTTTTTATACTTTTCTACCTTCATTACTTTGTTCAACTTCTTTCCTTCCTCTGGAAAACCTCTCTCTTCCCATATCTGTTTCCTCAAATTATAACTACATTGGGTCCAGATCATATACAGTCCCTGAAACTGGCTATGATTTTTCAAGTTTCTGCTCTTCTTTAGTGGCTTTAATGATATGTCTCTTGATGACACCCAGCACTTCTTGTATTCATATTAATGATTTGTGTACATGAGGACTTTCTTCTGGGAGACTATAGCTAATTGAAAATAGATAGGAGACTTTTTAAATTTTGTATTCGTGATTGAGAAATACTTATTTTCTTTCCTAAGGCGCCCAAATACTCAATAAGTAGCTGATAGATGACTGAATCTCTTTGAGTAGATGGCTAAAAAAATGAGGAGGGCATTTTAAAATAGAATTTCAGGATGTTTTGAGCTGTTTGTCTTGTTTTTATCTCTGAAACAGTTACAAGATTGTTGCTGCTGGGAAAGAAGAAGTATAATGGAGAAAAACATCTTAGGCAATACATGAACAATTGTAAGAACAGATGTAGCTTGTGGCCACATTATATTTAACAACAGTAAATTCTGCTTTCCAATGTGGTTAGGGAAGAGTTGGAAACTGAAGTAGGCCGGGTCAACTCAGTATGTACTTTTTTTTTCTAACAGCATTTTGCTCACCAGGCTCAGAATTTGAGGTAGTGCATGGTAAAAAAAGCCTGTAAGTTTAATTCAAAAACTGTTTTGCTATACTTAAAAAATAGCATTCTTAAAGGCTTAAAATAATTGCAGACAAATAATACAGGGGAATATGGTATACAGCCATGGGCCAAAATAATATAAATGATTTCATTTAAAAAAACCCTCACAATTGTGAAATAGACACTGGATGCTGAATTTGACAGTGTGAATCTATATGGCTGTATTCTCTGTATATACTTAGAAAATGATCAGTGTATAGTGAGCTGTTCAGATCAGGCTGTGAGTCAGGTTAAATTATTATCATTAGGAATTTGCTTTCCTAATGATAATAAGGAAAATAAGGAAAGCAAATTCCTAATGATAATAATTTAACCTGGCTCACTAATGATCTCTTCTGGAGAATTGAGTTAATATTTGATAACTTGTACCTCACTTCTTTTCTTTTTTTTTTTTTCTTTTGAGACAGAGACTTGCTCTGTTACCCAGGCTGGAGTGCAGTGGCGTGATCTCGGTTCACTGCAACCTCCGCTTCCTGGATTCAAGTGATTCTCCTGCCTCAGTCTCCCGAGTAGCTGGGATTACAGGCGCCTGCCACCACTCCCAGCTAATTTTTATATTTTTAGTAGACATGGTGTTTCACCATGTTAGCCAGGCTGGTCTCAAACTCCTGACCTTAGGTGATCCACCTGCCTCAGCCTACCAAAGTGCTGGGATTACAGGTGTGAGCCACCGTGTCTGGCCCTGTCTCACTGTTTCTACCCAAGACAGTATACAAGTTGAGCATCCCAAATCTAAATTGAAACACTCCAGAATCTGTGACTTTTGAGTACCAACATGATGTTCAAAGGAAATGCTCATTTGAACATCTAGGATTTCGGATTTCTGCATTTGGGATGCTCAACCAGTGTAATGCAAGTATTTCAAAATCTGAAAAATAATCCAATATCTGAACTACTTCTGGTCCCAAACATTTCAGATAAGGAATATTCAACTTGTATTTTATTTAAATTGATTTCCCTGATGGGTGTGTGTGTGTGTGTGTGTGTGTGTGTGTGTGTGTGTGTGGCTTAGGGAAACAATGGCTGTTAATAGAGGAAGGAGGAGAACTTCCTGGTCATTCATTTCAAAGAAACCATTTTGTGACCCCAAATCTTCCTGTCATGAGGGTGAGGAGTTTCTAGGCAGCGTTTTTCAGATTTAGTGTTTTACCTGCTTAAAAACATCACAGGAGATGATTGCAAAATGATTCGCATTTATGCAAATGGGTATAATGGCTATGCCATTTTGAGAACCAGAATCCATCCACTATACATTTTTTAAAAATCCACATTTATTGACCAATGTGTGTTAAGAACTGTGCTGTGCTATAGCAGACATATTAACTCAATTAATCCTCAAATGATTCTGCATTTTCACTTTTATTTTAAAAACACAGGCTCTCTGGATGGAAAATAATAAGAAAAGGGTAATTTTGTTATTATTAATACTGTAGAGCATATATGGTTTTCCTCATTCATATTTTCACTTGATTTTGGATGAATTTGATCCATTGGGATAGGCAGGACAGAAATTTTGCAAATTAGGAAGATAAGGGAGAGATGCTAGTTCGTTGTCCAAGTTCGTCAAGTGGGTAAATGACTGAACCTACAAACATAAATCCTTCGATAATTCAACAGTCCTCATTTCTCAATCACACCAAAGTGGTTAAAACCAAATTAAATACAAGGGGACAAAAGTCAAAATTTGAAGAAGACAGCCTGGTTAAAGGCATCCCCACCATGAGTAAAGCTTGTCCCTGGATTGGGCTTCTTTGGAGATGATGCTGATACTTACTCCTGTTTAATATAATATTATATATGTGGATAATATTACTATATTGTTATATAGTATACTATATTTATACTACATAAATATACCTGTATATACTATATAGGTATAATATTCTCTATAATACTAGATATGTCCATCAAAAGTCAGGTTCAGCCCCTGAACTTTGTGCTTTGCGTCTGTGTACTATACCTTAAGAGGAACACAGGGTATGGAGGGTCATCCAGAGCAGAGAAGCCAGCTTCATGAAAGAGACTTTGATCTGAATCTCCATCATGTCTGACAATGTTAGTGTGTTAGAATCACTGAGAAAGTTCAGCCAGAGGAATGGAAAGCTTTGCTGGGAAGAATCAGCATCCTGTGGACTGTGTAGATTCATTCTCCAAGCTTTACCCAGGAAGGCCTGGGGCAAATGGTTGGAGACTATGGGGAATTAGTTCATTTTAACCAAAGAGTGACTAAAATATTTTAACTGCACAGATGTGAAAGAGACCTTGTTGTGAGGTAACAAGGGAAGGCTAAACTTTATTAACAACTACTCTAGCAAGTGGTATCATTCCAGGTTATTACTACTGCTACTGAAGCACTACCAACCGTAAACTACAGACATTTATTCACACTTAGTGTGAATCAGATTCAAAGGGATTAAGCAAGTTGCTCAAACACACAGCTAGCCAATAACTGTAAGTCTTTTGTACTAGTTGTGAGATTGGACTAGATGACACCTTCAACAATAAGATATTGTAACTCTATGAAAACGCTGCCTTACTTTAATGCCTTGTGAAGAATGAATCTAAATGGAACCCAGGGGTTTGACAAGTAAATAGGATGCTATTGACAATGAAACACTGACTCTTTCACAAACCAAAGAGAGGGATATGTACGGCTTCGAGAAATTAACAAGGACAAAAATGAAATAATCACCATCTGCCTCATTCCCCAAAACACAAAGTGAGAGAAGGCACAAAATCAGCAAGGGTTACTTTTGAATCATGGGGCTAGTTTTAAGTAGAAAAGATATTCTATAGAAAGTTTAGTAAATGAGGAATGGACAAGGAGAAACACACAGCTACATCGAAAATAAGAAAAGGGAAAAACTGGAAAAATATCTCAGGTACACCTACTTAAGATTTGGTTTCTGATAGTTCTTTAAAAAGGATGAAACATCAGGAGAATGATCCCTGCACCAGGCTGAGATGCAAGAGACCTTGGCTTTTGCCCCTGATAAAAGTTGGCAAAATGTCTCATCTGGTTCTGTGATTATGTCTCTGCACGGACTCTGGTCCAGCACATAGACTCTCCCTCAGGCCCATTTCCATCTTCTTCTTTGTGTACTCCAGCAATAGAATCCATTGGGTAACCCTGAGGCAGTGATTTTAGTTTTCAACCTGAAGGTCCGGATGGTTTAGCCAAAGTGTAAGTCAGTCCCTGAGAGAAATAACAACACAAGGTTATCAGAGCAGCGTATGCTGTGACTCTCAGATGTTTGAAGGCTATCATGTGAAACGTGACTGTTAATGGAAAGAATTAGCACATAGCCACAGCTACTTATAACATTGACTTAAAGTAACAAAGTCTCTGACAAAAGAGTTTTATTTCCTTCCCATGTAAAAATTGGAGGAGAGCAATTCTACTCAGCTGTCAGATACCCAGGCAATTTCATTAGGTGCTGATGAAATCATTTCACCATCTCTCCAGTGCTGTCCTCATCCTTGTGGTTTTCCAGAGCTTGTCACCACATCCATTTTTCAGGTAGCAGGATGGAGCAAGGAAAAGGAGACGATATATCTCTTCCACTTTAAGTTTCAGACATCTCATTAGTCAGAACTTGGTCACATGCCACATCCATCTGCAAGGGAAACAAATAGAGTCTCCATCCTGAGTGGTCGTGTGATCCAGATAAAAACTCTATTACTATGAAAGGAAAGAATGGACTAACGAGGTAAACAAGTGTCTTCATGGAAATGTGGCCACCCATGCATCAGCACACACTCCCTGCATCTCTCTCTTTTCACCACTGTAATTTTCAATAAAACCACACTCCAGTCATTTGTTAAAAAGTGCATGTTAGTATTCTCGCTATACAGACATTCTCAACATTTCATTTGGCCAATTTATTAAAGTCAGCATTTGGGGCAGGCCATATGGGTGTGTTTAGCTGCAGTGAATCAGTCATTTTGAGTAAAGGAAATGTCTTTAGAAGGACATTGCTGAGAGAGCCCAGCATGGGCTTGAAGTGATGAATGCTTTGTTTTGCAGAGTACATTAGACCAGGTCATTCTGAGGGTGAAGGAGTAAGGTGGGGAAAATCAGATATTCTAATTAGAGAGCTGATGATGGATTATACATTTTAAATAATTCTCTCAAATAGGCAGAGAGAAAAGGCTTTTCACGATACAATCAGGAACTAACACAGTCCCAGTGGCAACTGGTAATGATTAAACTGACTGGGGAATGATTTGGAGACATAAAAGGGAATATATAAAAATATTGGAAAGAAGCATCCATCATTAGCTAGGGGAGAAACCTGAAAACCACGGCAATAATAAAATTGAGGAAAAACAAGTGCTTCACTAAAGAGTCTGAGATTGGCACAAATACCAAAGTATTCTCCAGAAATTTCAACCTAGTAGGATGCACTGATGAGGTGATATTCCATCCCATACCTTTCACAGTATTTTAAGGTTCTCTTATTTCCACATTAAAAAAATAAGAAGTAGAAAATATTTGAAACAACTGTTCACCCTGAGTCTAGTCAGATTTTTGGCAGTTATATTCAGCAACGTTTTTAGGAGAATGTTATATTTCACTATGACATCAAAAGCTGGAGATTATTTAAATTCTTCTTGACTCAATCCTTTATACCTTGGAATATTTAGAAAGAGCTGTTTTCCTTGCCAGAGAAAGCACCTGAGAAAATAAGGCCTTTGATTTTTTTATATGGGCCTATCCAAATACTCTACTGCACATGACATTTTTTAAAATTTGGGTTCACTAAAAAGGAACTTTACAAATATTCACACAAAGATAGCTTTCATTGCTTGTACATTCGTATATGTACATCACATACCTATGTCTGTGTGCACGTGTGCAGATGCCATACAAGAAACTTACCTCATTGTGTAATGATTGTTTCACACAAACTTAGCTAAAAATACATAAAAGTGCTGATTTTACAGATTGTCTAATGAGTTGGTTTTTGTTTGAATTATAGAAAGCAATTAAGTCAGCTGTGACGTTTGAAGAAAACCAGCAGGGTTTTCTTCTCAGATGTTTTCAGTGTTAAAGTCCAAAGAACTAGGATGAGGACTGTGTTTGTCTCCAGCTATGTGTACTTTAAATAAGCTGTTAAGTAAATATTTTTTTTGTGATGAGATTTTCTAATAGGCACTAATTAAGATTTTCTGATTTTTTTCTTAAATGATAGAAACAACTCACTTCAATTCTACTTCTGTTTAACTCTGTATGTATGAAACACATTTGAAAATATTCTTTAAGGTGTAAGTATTTGTTATCAGCATTTTATTATTTATACATCTTTTTAGTCAAAATTTTAGAACAGTGGCCACATAATTTTTTGGAGTAAAGTAGTGGTCTATTTTTTTAAAGAGACATTTGAGGGTTCACTGTGGATAATAATCTATTTCTGGAAGCACTCAGCTAGAAAAAAAGAAGTTAAAGCAATTCCAAATTTTAACTAGCATCTTTAAAATATAAGAACATCATTTCCTAGGGAAACAATGAAAGCAACGAATGGTAATGTCATTAAAAAAATTAAATAGAGAACTTCCACAAGCATTTAAATGATCAGAATCAACTTTGAAATATGTGATTTAACTAAATCTGTTTTACCTTAAAAATGAACCAAGTTAGTATGATATAATTTGTGAGTAAAATTTGCTGAAATCTTGAGCTTTATGTAATAAGAGTTTGAGAGTGCATGAGAATCAGGCAGCAAGAATGAATAAGCTGTGAAAAAGCAAAGCCTCGTTTTTGTAGGCCGATTTACTTTATGGGCTGAAAAAAAAAAAACTGCTTTCAGAAAATATTCTGACATTAACAAGAATGCTTTAGGAACAGAGATTTCGGTCTACTGCCTTCATACTTACCAAATCAACCACTTGTAATGCTGTGTTGAGAAGCAGTCAAAATAAGCTGAGATTAGGGGCCTTAATGACTGGCTCCCTCCCTTTTCTTCTTTTTGGCCCTCTGAAATCACTAGTATATACAAACAGAAACTTAGAAAAGAAATCTCTCTTGTGAGAGTCAAATACAAGTGTTGCCCAACAAATGCAGTGACCTCACCTCCTCACTCTTCAGAAAGTCCTCTGATCACCTCTGCTCACAAGCGCTCCTTTGGGAGGGGTGGCCCTCCTGACACCTAGGAAGGGGACAGGCCATATTACGCTAGTTCTTTCTTGTTACAAATATTAAAACCACCATACCCATCTATATTACCCTGTTTTCATGCAGCTGTAAAGACATATCTAATGCTCGATAATTCATAAGGAAAAGGAAGTTTAATTAACCCACAGTTCTACGTGGCTGGGAAGGCATCACGATCATGGCGGAAGGTGAAAGGCACTTCTCACATGGCAACAGACAGGAGAAAAGAGCTTGTGCAGGGAACCTGCCCTTTATAAAACCATCAGATCTCATGAGAGTTATTCTCTATTATGAGAACAACACAGGAAAGACCCATCACCATGATTCAATTACCTCCCACTGGGTCACCCCCACAACACATGGGAATCCAAGGCGAGATTTGGATGGGGACACAGCCAAACCATATCACCATCCTTACATAAATTTGCCATTGAAATGCTGATTCTTTGGTCAAAATGACCTAATATTACCTTTTCCCCTGATTCTTGATTTTGAAATAAGTCCTATGAATCTGTAAGTTACTAGTTCTTTACTTGAGAGCTGCCTGCTTATTTCCTGATTACAGAATAAGGCAGTAAAAATATACAGGATGGAATCCCCTCAAAGACAATGCCTCTGGAGAGAGATCCAGCAACTAACTCACAGGGATGGGCCAACCAGTTCAGGGCAGCCTGCATTTGTGGAAAACTACTCTAAACCATAAGAACTTCACTCCAAACATACTGATAATTAATGTGACACGTTTGAAATGAGAAAGAGAATGCAATTCTATAAGGTGATCATATTAGCAAACTGGTTTTTAGAGAAAGAATGTGCACTCCAGCTCCTTTGGAGGGAGTTGCTTGATAATTTCCAGTATCTGAAGTCAAAGTGAGGATGCCCTGTGCTGATTCCGATCCCCCTCACAGGATCGCTGTTGCAGCTGATGACTGCCAGCCAGGAGCAGCCTGTGTGTTCTGTGTGTGCTAGGACGGGAAAAATGTTCAAAAACACAGCCACAAGGTAATAGAATATCTCTGTCAAAAAAGAAGCAGGGTCACTTAGGATTGGAAATGTTTGAGCTGTTGAAAAACTAAAGGATGCCTTTTAATTTGAGGTACCAGTCTTTTCTTGCCCTCCAAACAGAATGGAAAATAGAACCTACGTGAGCAGGCACACACACACTCTCACAGGCACACATGTGGACACACATTTTTGCCCTCTCACCAGAAAAAATGTTGTATTAGAGAATAACGCAAACAGGCAAGGAACAAGCAGAGCTTAGACAAGACATTCATTTATTGTTACAAAGTGATTTGTGTCTACTCATTGCCAAATGACTGGAACATGCAAAAATGGAAACTTGGGAATTAAAAAGCCCCAAAACACCAAAACCCACCTCCCACTCCATTGATCAACAAATAGTGCACTTAGCATCTCAATGCCCTACCCCTCACCAAAAAAAGCCAACCTTTGACTCGGAAGCCTCCTTTTATGTTTATCTTTGAACATGGAAAAACAATGGACTTTGCTGTTTTACTAGTGTTTAAGTCCCAATCACCGGTCCTTACTTAGGGATGGGGATGCTCCTGCAATTTTAATGTCCTCACGTAAGTAGGTTTTTGGCAATTGCTCCTGCACTTTTCATTTCAGTCACCTGGGCAGGGCTTCTACATTCTATTTGCCTCCTTCAGAGAAGAGGAAATTTCTGCAAATTATTTTCTGTTTATTCTGTGGTAAGATAAGTCACTTCCTTTAATGCTCAACCTTCTAATTTGAAAATGAAATGAAAGTGAGTGTGAATATCGATATGACATCAATGATTTAGAGATTGGGGGAAAATTCCCCTTGATCGATGACTGATTTAAAGATGTGAAGAGTCCTATGTGGGGAAAATCAAGTCCTGGTCCAAACTTCCCTTCTTGTTCAGATGGTTTGGCTGTGGCACATGCTATCTGATTTAGAGGTTTCTCTTAATCCTGCTATTTCCTATCACACATCAGGAGCTGTCACAACATTGCATATGTGTCTGGGAAAAACCATAAGTGATACAACCAGGGCAGATCTAAAGACCTAAGAATGGTGAGTAACTTTTTATTTTTTCATCTTCCTGCCCAATATCCTAACCACCTCTTCACAAAAAAATAAAAATAAAAAAGATTAGCTGACCACTTTGACCACTTTTTTTCATTCAAAATGAATCACTGAATTCCATAGATTAACTGTGAATTCTTAATATCTCACGCTGCCTTCATTGAATAGACAGTTTTTAAAGGAAAAATTGGCATTTAATCCAGCAATAAAATGGTAGTATTAAGGAACCTTTAAGAATTAGGATCAAGGAGGCAATGCTCCATTATTTCATCATTTAAATTTATTGGGGTTTTTGGGAATATATGAGTGAGTTTACACCCAATTTAATTTCATTTTCAAATCAGAAGGTTGAGCATTGCAAAGAGGTAGTGACTTAACTCATACAATGAGCTTCCCGAAAGAGGTGTGGTTGGAATTAGAGCTTGTTCCACTCCTGCCAGTGTTCACAGAGCAAGTGCGCTTTCTAATAATGTACATTCATATGTTGCTTCGTAATGGTCAATTTCCACATACATCTTTTCTTTTAACCACACTTATATTGTGTGACAAACATTCTCTTTCATAGACTAGAGACCATAGATTATAGGCTACTGCAAAGCAGGGATCTTGTCTACTTTGTGCACCATGCTGTTCATATGGCTGCTGTGTTGCATGCTTAGTGTCAGGTGTCGACTGGAGGAGTAAAGATGGGAGAACTTGTCCCACAGTTTCAAAGCAGCGCTGTGGCCTTTTCTCTACAAATTGTTATTAGACCTCTGCTCAAACATTTTCAGTGATGAGAAACTCATTACCTTCCAAAGCAGCCATAGTACGTATCCTTTCTTAGTTTGGTGTAGTTTTGCCTGTTTGTTTTTGCTTCACAGCTCCTCAGTGTCTTCTCTTCTACTCAGAGTGGCTCTGTTAATGACGATTGGGTTGCTGGGCTCTTAGGGGCAGACACATAGCCTAGAGTAGGTCTTTCACAGCAGCCATTCCCCATCTCCAGTCACAGGTCCAAGATGTAACCACTTTGGGAACCAGTCATGGTTCTCCATCATACCTGACAAACAGAAGATGAAGGAGAAAGGGCCACTTGATTTTTTTCTGATTGCAAACTCTGGTAAACCTGATGCTTCCAGTGGCCATCTTTGCTCTTGTGTATCAAGAGGCAGCCTGAGAAAGAAACCAAACACAAGATGAAAGCCAAACAGAAATGGAGAGCATGATGGCAGCTATTGAAACCTCTAAATCCTGTTCCTAGAGCTAGCTCTACCTTTGGGTTTCTCAATACCTTTCTCTTTTTTTTTTCTCTCTCTCTCTTTTTGTTTTACTACTTATAAACAAAATAGGTCTAACATGACCACCCATTCCATGATGAGCCAATTTTGACTTTTGAAACATTCTTATATGTAGCCCAGATCTCCTTTATAGAGACAGGGAGAACAGTGTAACTCTTTCATGTAACAATGTTTCTGACACTTGGAGAAAGCTACCCTCTTTTCCTCAGCTTTTGCTTAAGTCTTCTGTCCAGGTTATGCATCCTATGTTGTCAACTTCTCTTCTTGTGATAAAGTGCCCCACACCATCTTAGTTGCTAACATTTCATTACATCTCCATTTGCCCACAGCTATTTTAACATGAGGGGGGATTAAACACAATGATCAGCAACATAACACAGGATGATAATTTTCTTTCGTTCATACATTGTATTTTTTCCATTGCTCCCGAAAGTCTCATTGGCTTTTTCAATGTTATAATACGTAATTGACTTGAAATACAAGTATTATCAATTGAAACTCTCAAGCCTGACACATCGTTTTGGTAATAAATTATGTCTTCCATAATCTTTAATAATTTTGTTCTTCTTAACTGATTTTACCTTTATTTCAAATTAACTTCCATTTAGATAGAAATGTTCCATCTTTTCTATTCATTGGCTTTTATTTTGGGTCTATCAGAAAATGAATTTGCTATTTCCTTTCATGTTATAGTTTCAGAAAGCTATGTTTAAAGATTGTGTTTTTAAATTTTTTGTTTATTTATTTTTTGTGATAACATCAAGGAAGTTAAGTGTGTCTAAGGCAGAATGCTATTTAGAAGTCCAAGACAGTTATTTAATAGTTTTCTTAGATAAATGTAATGTTTATTTATTTGTGGATCTTTTAGTTTCCTAAATCTTTATTCATCTTGAAGCTCTGGTGACTATTAGTGTAAAGAATGTGATTTTCATTCAGTTCCTGTCTGAAACACTCGGAATAAAAATGGTTTCTTTGCTTCATTTGCCAAATATTCTGCACAGTGCTTATTTTGTATTTTTTCCCATATTAAGTGTAAGACAAGACTCATTGGCACTTTATAAATAAGAAATTAATGCCGAAAAGGAAGCCACTTCCAAAAGCAGTATTTCCCCAGGAAATGAAAAAGAGGTAAGATCAGTACCCCCAGAGTGTTTACAACTGTCTTCTGTCTGTTCCCCTTCTTCTTTTACAGGATAAAATAAAAATTGAGAAAGAATTTAGATAATTGAAACTAAAAATGTGCTGCCTTAGTTATTTCAATTTTTCATACAAAATGTATGCTTGGCTTGAGGTATATTATTACCTCTCATGTTTTACTTACAGTCTTATTGAATTTTATAGGAAGGAAAAAGGCTAAAAAAAATTAAAGTGTGTTGCATGTGTATGTGTGTGCCTAAAGGCATATTGATAACATAAAGCATAAATATTTTATAGAAAGATAATTCCATGAGGATCAATTAATGTATTAAAGAGAAGGCAATGTTATGATTGATCAGATTCATTTCAGTGTGACCCAGATTAAAGCTTTTTACTCTTAACCCGTGTTTTCTGCATTTGCTGGGGTGGATTTTCCCTTTTTACATAGCTGGTTAGGAACATTTTCGTGTCTCCTCACTAAAAATTTGCTCAAACAAAGCACTAAACAAAAAGTGATACAGATTTAAATGACAATTTTGTAGGAGAAAAGAAAGAAGGTAACACCACATACCTCAAACCCTTGCCCTCATTAAATATTTTTATTTCCTCCACGTTTTCACTGCCATCATACCACCACTGCTGATTTTCGCTATACTCCCTTTGGTCACTCTGTGTCCTTTCTTACTGGCTCCTTTATTGGTCATCCATATTTTTCTCAGAACCTCAAATCCTCCATGTTTTCTTATGCAGGGCAACTTCTTCACAACCTTTTGTTAGTCAAGAAGTCCTTTTCATTATAATTGGTT